GGACAGTTTGGCTCATTGCTAAACATATGGCAGTTGCTTTGTTGTTGGTGGTGGTTTTGCCTGGGTTTATCCAAAATAGCCCTGCTGCTCTGCCCCAGGCTCCAGCCAGCTAGACAGCTTTCTGCATGCAGTGCCAGTTTGCCTTTACTCTGTCAGATAAGCTCAGCCACTGAAATACGTATTTGTGTTTCACTGGGATTCTTGTCAGTCCTTTCTCCCTCCTCTCTGATTTTCCAGCATCCACTTCCAGCTGTCTGTGAGCTGAGAGAAAATCAACTCCTCCCCAAGCACCAATGATTTTTCTTTTCCCCCCTGACCTTCCATCAGGAAAAGGACAGTTCCCTGGGAAAAGGGGGTGCCCTGTCCCTTCCCATCCCCAGCCAGACCCCTGCCCTGTGCCCACACAGCACCTGGGCTGCGGCAGCAGCTTAGATCCAGGACCTGATGCAGGACCTGATCCAGGACCTGATCCAGCCCCTCCCCAGCCTGGCAGAATCACAGCACATACTACAGCCAGGAACATCAAGCCTGGACAAACCATTTGCGGGGAACTAAAGTAAGATGAGAATAAAACCCTGCGTGGCAGTGACTCTGCTGCCACGCTCTATCAGCAAAGCCAGAAGCGGGGCTGCCCACAGCGGGGAGCTGGGCGCAGCCTGCCCAAGGGTGCAGTCGTGCAGGACCCACGGAGGCAAGCAGGAGCAGCTGAAAGAGACGAATTTCTGAGCACCGTTTCCGCTGCTGCAGCGTGCGTTCACCCTTCCCCTAACCCCGCAGGAAGCAGCCCCTGGGCACGAGGTGCCAGCAGCCGCTGCAGGGCACAGTCCCCCAGCGCGGCGGTGACAAGCCTGGACGCCTCCCTGTGCCACCCATCCCCAGAGCCCCGGAGCACACAGAACCACGCGTTGAGCTCTGCCAAGGAGAGCAGATGCCAAACCTGAATTACCAGCCCAGAGAGTAGCTGCGGATCCTAGGAGCTCCTGCGATTTGCGGCAGGTTTTTCAGGCCCCCGCCTGTCACACGCACACGCAGCTACTTAAGCAGTCACCCAAGGACTTGCGGGCTTTATTTTTATTTTGTTTTATTTGTCTTTCACGCGCTTTTGGTGCCTGCCAGCTCCAGGTAAGTGTGAGCTTTGAGCTGGGGGTGCCGGGGCGACTCGGGGACGGGCTGGGGGACGGGGTGAGCGACTTGCTGGGGAGGTTGGAGCAGTACCCAGAGGGCTGTAACGGGAAAGCCCTGTGGCTGGGGCACCGGAGGGGCACGCAGAGAGCCCAGGCTAGGTGCACCACGGGGACCTCTCTCAGCTACAGCAGCTGCTGCACTGTTCGTGCTGTTCCTATCCGATATTATCTTCGACAAGGCTGCATGGGAGGCTTACAGGATGCATGACAGGTGTTTTTTTTCCTTATGGTGGGGTCTGGTTTATTTTTAAAGCCTCAGCCCCACCTCATCCTGTGTGCCGTGCTGGCTGATGTTATCCACGACCGTGCCCCGGCTCAGCAGGAGGCAGAGCAAAGCTCGGGACAGGACACAGCTTTGCAGAGCGAGGGAGGACAGGACAGCCTGTTTGCGTTGAGGACGGCTCGCTGTTTTGATCCCTGCAGTGGCAGGAAATAGTTGCAAGCTAAAAACAGATGCTTCCAGTCCCTTCTCAGCCCTAACGGTGGGGAGGGCGCTGGGGAAGGGGCCACGGGGGCCCATCAGCTGTGCAGGAGCTTCTGACCAGCGAGTTTTCCAGGGGCTTCAGGAGCAGTAAATGGTTGGAAAGCTGTGCAGCCAGGCAGCTATTGTGTATGTCTTTCAAAAAAAAAAGCAAAGCTGAGCAAACAGAGATCACCTCTTTTCTGGAAAACCAGCTGCTTTCTGCCAGGACAGTAGGTGCTGACAAGCACCAGCAGTGTTGAGCTGCCCCCCTGGGAGGCAGAGGGTTGATGCCCTCCCCTAGTCTCAGGCCAGAGCTGGGTTCCCAGCCAGTACCCCCAGGGTGTACTAACATCTTCCCCTGCTGCAACCTGTGGCCATTGCTTGTTGTCAGTTCCCAGGTGGATGTGGAGGGACGTTCAAATAACCCACCAGCCATGCTGAGACAACCAGGTGCTCCCTGCACGGTCTCGATGCACACAGCAGTGCTGCTTATAGCCATCTGCAACCAGCAGAACCCTTGCAAGCTTCAGCTGGTGGCTGCTGTCACACCGCCTTTCCTAAAACCGAGATGATCAGAATGAAGTGTGACTTTCCTCAGGGCTCTGTAGCTGCAGACACTTTTTGTTCTGGTGCTGTGGTTTCACAGTGCTTCTGGAACCACCACTTCTGCCTGGGTGTGTCACCCCCCGCCACCAAACTCAAGCCTGTGCTGCTGAGGGAAGGCAACGTTAGGCATGGGGCTGTTCACAGAGCTCAGCAAACACCACAGCACCCCAGCTTTTCTGAGAGCTGCATAGGTAGCTTTCATGCTTCATGCTAGAAAAGGCCATTTTTTCCAAAGCCTGTAAAAAATTAGGCAGGAAAAAAAAAAAAAGCTAGCGGTGGTGCTTTTCAGCAGATGAGCAAAACAGTCTCAATTCTCCATATTTCTGCCAGGTTTTAAGAAATGTAAGCAAGAAAAACATCTTTCCTGGACAAGGGAATGGTCCTGTACAGCCTGAAGGTCAGGCTCCAAGCCAGGACCTGGGCTTAAATGGGTCTAGGGGTCCAGGTGAGGCCAAGGAGGATATTTAGGAACTCTTGGTGTACTCCAGTCTTGTCACATACTGCCTGTTTTTAGCAACTAAAAGGTGTTGTGCAGGGTGCCACATGTGGCATGTGGCCTCTGAAAACCTCTGGGCCCCAGGGGAGCCATGTGAGAAGACCCGCAGAGCCCTCCAGGACCTGCAGGAGGTTGACCTGGTCCTGAAAGCCATCTCACAGCCTCGAGAAGCAGCAAACTGTTCTCCCTCCAGAGCAAGGGTAGAGAGAGGATAAGAAAAAATAAAATAAAATCAGGTATCCTATTCCGTGTGCCGGGGCACCCCAAGCTGCCAGCAGGTGGAAGATCTGTGCCCTATGGGAAAACGCCTCAGGAACCTGGGGATTATCAGAAACAGAAGCAGCCACAAAGATGAAACGGGAGAGTTACGAGGCACGCGTTTCCTATGCAAATCCATGCAGACGCGTTAATGCACGCTAACTGAGCAGGCTGCAGACGATGATTTATGAACCACCGGGCCCTGCTGCTGCTGGGAGCCCAGGCTTGGTGCCTGAGGCCTGACCTCTCCCCGTACAGACACCTCTGAACCGTGTCCAGTGGCTGCAGTACCCCACAGAGCTCAGGCTGCGGTGCCTGGGTGCTGGGGGTGATCTTGTCCTGGTCTCTTCCTGGTGGTTTACGATGCCATTTTCCAGCATGCTCCATCGCCCTGAAAGGAGCTCTGACCTTATGCAACCACTGTGTTACAGTCAGTATTTACCAAGCGACTTGAGAAGAAGAGTGGGCTGTTTCATGAGCAGCTCTGGTCTTTTTAACCCTGTGTGAATGCCAGGAGATCCTGTTATTAGTCAATGCAACTTCTTGCAGATAAGGTTCAGCAGAGCATTCAGTTTTCAGGGTAAAGCTCAAGGATCTCCCCAGCCCTTTGTGAACAGGACAGCTGGCTCCCTGCAAGCTGCAAAGCAGTTTTGGACCTTAGCCCTATCCCAGCGGTGCTGCCAGAAGGTGAGAGCCCTGAGGCATTCGGTACACCCCAGGCTACAGGGTGGGTTATGGCAATCCTTCAGCTGGGGCAACAGGCAGGTGTAATGCTGCACAGCAGGGGTGCAGGACGGTGGAGGCATTTAGGTTACATCCCCAGGGAGAAAGAGAAGGAGAAGCTGGATTGTGACATTAAGGCGGGTGGTCCAGAGGAGATCCACAGCAAGCCAAGGGCTCCTGGCAGCAGTGACACCAGCCAGCCCACCCGACAGACACAGGCTGAGTGGCTCAGGAAGCAGAACAGATCAAGAAAAGCCACATTTCTGAATCCAGCTCCTCCCTTGCCACCACCCACAGTTTGGTTTCGGAAACACCGAGGCAGTTCACTGTCAAGAGGCTTATCTGTCCTCTCGTTTTAGTTGACCAAATTGGCAGGCTTGACCCTCTGCCACCTGGGAGCAAACCTGGAGCCCTGCAGAAGAGGGGTGTGGGACTTACCCGGGACGTGACTCATTTTGCTTGTGCTTTTGTGCCCAGCCTACCAGAAATTTGTGCAAAGCTTGGCAAATTGTGTGACTGCTCAGGCACAGACACATGTGGTATGGTCTTCCAAAGACTGACCCCTTACTTGAACACTGAAAAACAAACAGACCGGTGATACTCAGGAACAACGGGACTAACTGTATATCCCCATGCACGATAGCATTAAATATTAGGAAAAACAAAGCAGCTCACCTGCTCAGTCTCCAGTTTTGCCTGGCCATGCTGCTGGGAAGAGGAACGGGAGGGAAAACAGTGATTGCTGTGCCCGTGCTCCTAACAGGTCCTGCATCCTTTGCCTCGTGTTTCCCCTGCACAATTTTGCCTGCTGGCTGGGGAGAAAAGAAAAAACAAAATCACTGGGCTGGATGCCAGACACCATCCCAAAAGATAAAAAGATAAAAAAGATAAATAAGGGTTGTTTGGTGTTGTTTTTTTTTAAACTACTGACTTGAAAGTAACACACACACACCCCCAACATGCTCACTGCTGTGACATCAGCCCCGAGTGACGCCCAAGCCTAAATACGGCCGTAAACAGGAATCATCTCCGCGGGAGTCAGGCGGGCTATAAATACAGCAACCAGCAGAGGTTGCTCGGCAGAGGAGAGGCTGCAGTTCCTGCCAGCTAGGGATGGTGAGGCGGCTCGGCTGGGAGTGTTGCTGCCACAGCCAGGAAAGTGAGGCAGGTGCTGCTGGCAGGGGACAGGGCTCCCAGCGGAGACCTTCAGGGAGTTGTGCCCTGCCACAGCCAGAGGCCACTGGGGAAGAGGGAGCTGGTGGTGACTGGGATGCCTGGAGCTCAGCGAGTACAGACCTCGTGTCCACTTGGTCTTGGCAGTAATCCTGGCCTCTCTCTGCAGTGCCTGGCCCCATAGCCCAGAGGGAAATGGACGCCGAAAAGCCAGGTGACTCCCACCGAGGAGCAGCTGGAGATCCTGGAGTACAACTTCTGCAAGGTGAACAAGCATCCCGACCCCACCACGCTGTGCCTCATTGCAGCTGAAACTGGCCTTTCCGAGGAGCAGACCCTGGTGAGTGTGCACCCCTCACCCCCACCTTAACACCAGCTCTGCTTCCCTTGCATGCCTCTGTGCCCCACAAGCTCTCCACAAGCCTCCTGCCTACCTCTGCCCCTGCATCTCCAAAGCCCCTTCCCCTGTAATTACAGCCCCTTTGGCCCACAGCCACGGCTTTCCACATAGCAGCCTGGTGCCCCACTGGGTTCCTTGTGGTCCCTTTGCCCCCGAGCCCCAGACCCAGCCTGGACCGGGAGGCCAAGCTAGTGCTCCTTGTAGCCAGAGCAAGGGCATCTGCCATGTGTCACTGCCTCTCAGGGCCATTAATTTACACCTGTGCACACTGTCCTTTCCATCCAACCCATTTCTGACAGTCCCAAGTGCCCACACAACTGCTGGCTTTGTAGCTGGAAGGAACTACACTCGTTTTAAAACAGGTGCAGGAGAGATGCAACGCCTGCAGGATGTGCTGTGGGACACATGGGCTGTGCTCGCTTCCCATTACTGTAATTCTTTAGTTCATCATCCCTGAGTGCACATCTTGGGCAGGTCTGTCAGCCTCTCCAGGAGAGGCAGAGGCCTCCATGTGTTCATTCACACAGACAGGCTGCCACTGCCAGGGACTCGCATCTGGCTACCTGCAGGCTGAGCTGGGAGCCAAAGGAGAACAGCTCCTTGCAGCCTGCAGATTGCAGTGCAGCTCTGGTTTTGATGCAGGTGTTGAATAAACTCCTAGCCCCATGGTGTGTTTCAGGGTTATAGAAAAGAAATCAAACAGAAAAAAATGTTCGCAGCATTTTGGAGCAAGCTGCCAAGTCTGGCTCTCCCTTAGCAAAGCCCATGAATATGAGAGTCAAGCAGACAATGCCAGCATTTAATCTGTTGCTGGGAAAGATGCTGGGTGTAACTGATCATCCCAGGCTGGAGTGAAAAAGGAGATACCCTCCCCTACTGACAGATATTTTTGTCTAGCACCAGGTGTACAGATGTTTCGAGGCAGCAGCCCTGAAACACCTTAGAAATGTCATTGCATTTTATTCCCGTAGAGCAAGTTGTAAACTCAGGCCACATATGCCCAGAACCCCTCTGAAGATGTCTTAAAATCAGCCTTTCTTCTTCCACAAATCCAGAGTGCCCCTGGATATCTGGAGATAAAGGTCATGGTAGGGACAGGATGAAGACCGGGGTGGTGAGCTGCAAAGTGCCTGCATTGCGTATGACACAGAATCACCCCTCCTGGCATCTGGAGTGCTTTGCCAGCCAGATATAGCAACCGCTTTAATACCAGTAAAAACGAAATGCAGAGAGGTACGGAGTCAACAGGACATGGTGGTTTAGGGCAGGAAGCGAAATGATTGGGAGGAGATCAGATGGGCAATCATCTAGCTGGATGTGGTCCAAGGCAGCACCAGTGCAAGAGGGACACTTCTGTGCACCACAGTTGTATCATTAGTGACGGTAACAGCTTCAGAAATAGCCATGAACAAATATAGCAACAAAACGAGCAGCAACAAAGCAAGTTGTAGAAGTCATAGGCACATTTCCAGCGACAAGCCTGAGCTGTGCTTCCAGCACAGGCGAACTTATGCCTCTCTTCTTATGGAGCTAGCATGGCTTTCTTTATCTACCCCCATTGCATCCAGCATTTCAAATTGCAGCTGTGTCGAAGTGGCATCAGCAGATCTTGGCTTAGGGATGCCAAGTCACTATGGAATAACATAACCATTCATATTACTTGAAGAATAAGATAACTTTTAACCCGTTTAAAAAATCTATTTGTCCTTAAGTCTCCTGAGAGCCACTATGTTTCTCTCTCATCCTTTCTGAAGCAGGTTACCTTTTGGTTCTGTCATTTTTGGACCTGTGGTGATTGCTTCAATGCTCCGGCCACTTAAACAGATGCCATCCTGCTTAGCCCATCTCTTACTCTGTTTGCAAGAAAAATCTGGACTCACAGCAATAAAATGGTTGCCAAGGTCTGGAGTGAGCAAGGCTTAAAAGAAGTGCACACATAGGTGATAGACCATTTGGTCAGGAGAGAATCATAGAATCACAAAGGTTGGAAAAGCCCTCCAAGATCATCTGGTCCAACCATCCCCCTACCACCACTGTCACCCACTAAGCCATGTCCCCAAGCACCACGTCCAACCTTTCCTTGAACACCCCCAGGGACGGTGACTCCACCACCTCCCTGGGCAACCCGTCCCAGTGCCTGACTGCTCTTTCTGAGGAGAAATGTCTCCTCATTTCCAACCTGAACCTCCTCTGCCGCAACTTGAGGCCATTCCCTCTGGTCCTATCACTGGTTACCTGTGAGAAGAGGCCAACCCCCAGCTCCCCACAGCTTCCTTTCAGGTAGCTGCAGAGAGCAATGAGGTCTCCCCTGAGCCTCCTCTTCTCCAGACCAAACACCCCCAGCGCCCTCAGCTGCTCCTCACAGGCCTTGTGCTCCAGGCCCTTCACCAGCTTTGTAGCCCTGCTCTGGACACGCTCCAGGGCCTCGATGTCCTTCTGGTAGTGACGGGCCCAAAGCTGAACACAGTGCTCGAGGTGTGGCCTCACCAGAGCTGAACACAGGGCTGTCCTGCCGCCTCTGACCCACCCAGGAGCACTCAGCCCAGTGCTCTCAGTTGCATTTTGTTCTTTTTTTTTTCTTCCCTCCAGAAATGGTTCAAGCAGCGCCTGGCACAGTGGAGGAAGTCTGAAGGGCTGCCCTCAGAAAGCGGCTCTGTCAGGGACTAGAGGATGCTGCTCCGGTCTCCGTGCCTGCTGTAAATGATGGCAACGATGTTCAGAGTGGGTTTCCTGTTGCAGAAAGTTTTGAGATGCAAAATAATGCCCTGGTATTTAACGTAATGTTTATTTATAGAAAAAAAAAATGCTATATATATAAAATATATATGTATATGTGTATACAGCTTCTGGTGGTTGCATAACCAGTTCAATGATTCTTATCCATTAACAGAGCTGCACAGGCCAGGCCATCTCATGCCCTTGTCAGCTGCTACGAAAGGTTCAAGTACAGGAGGCATGAAGACAGATTTATTTTCTTTATGATTTAGTGTACAGAACATCCTGAGAGGAGGGCAATTGGAAAACGTGATGTGTTGTTTGTGGGGTCTTGGTGAGCTTAAGATGCCCAAGATGTTTGGATATTGCCAAACCAAGTATCCAGATCATAATCAGATCAAGACACGATGAATGTATTTTTGTTACAGGACACCAAAGGGCGAGAACTGGTCTTTTCTTTATCCAATGTGTAAATAAAAACCAAAGACTTTTGGTGAAAGGAGCTGTGTTATGTCCCTGTCTGTGCTCCCTGCCCCAGTAATAGAAGACAAACCCAGCTGGGATGACATTTCGCTAGGGCAGCCTCAAGCAGCCACCCTGGGTTTTCCCTGTTGTCACAGGGAGAGCCTGAAGAGGTGGGCAACCTCCTCTTCTAGGGCACCCACAGCAGCCCACACAGCCCCACACACATCCCAGGCCCTGGGGTGGCAGAGGCTGGTGGTAATAAGCAGTGCAGGACAGTACATGGGCGAAAAAATAACTCACACCATTACCCAGTGACCCTGTTTCTGTCACAATCACATAACTTTGAGTGCCACTAAGATCTCTAAACTTTAGCAAACATTTTGAAACCCAAGGTCAGGAGCTGCATTGCATCACCCTGCACGGCGTCAGCCTTAGTTTGCTACACTTATGGGAAGGAACAGTTCCTATGCTAGCCTCCCCCAACAGTTATTTCATTACTTCTTTGACTTTTAGGGCAAAACGAGAGTGATAAACCCCAGACACAATCCTCCCTAAGGGAAGAAGCTTCCCACATTAGGTCAAATTCTGCTCTTTTCCCCAGTAAGCATTTTGTTCTTAAGGCATGACTATTTTATTTAACTGCCCAAGTTACCCCGGTAAAAGGCAGCTGCTTGTCAGAAAGCACTCTTGCTGAGTGCTGCCTCTGCACTGCATGTCCATGAGGTTTTCCAGCTGCAGCAAAACCTAAAGCAGGTGATCTTCCAAGGGGGTGGTGGGGGCAGGCAGCAAGAGCAGCTAGCGTGTTTCTGAGGAAGCTTAGCGCTTAATGGGACGAGCCAGCTCTTGGATCCGAGCAGAACAAGTTGCCTTCTTCGCACTCTCCTTCACCGTGAACGCATCAGGGTTGAAATGAGTCAAGTCCATAGGAGGCCTGAGGGAGTGAGGACAGAGCAGGTCACACCAGGCTCTCAGAGCTTCCTGCTGACATCTCCACCCAGGTCTTGCCTGTCCCTATCAAAGGAGGAAAAAAAGCAGCATTGCCTCCACTGCTGTCATCAGGACACTAGCGAGAGGAGGAACTCCCTTTCCCACTGAAGCTATCACAGCTGCCAAGCGTGCCCTCAGCCTCTGAGGAACATCCCACCCAGAATTTCCTACAGCCTGGGCTGAGGCCAGCTACACCATGCTGGGCAAAAGGAAGGTGCTGCACTTCACCATGTGTCAGATGGTTGATTTTTTTTTATTGCAATTAATAATTGAGATGTTACAACCAGTAATTCCTACTAGTATTGCGAAGTTCTTATTCCTTCTTTTTTAGTTCTCCTTCAACCTCAAAGATGCTTTTGAAACTAAAATTCCTGTAGCACTGACACATCCAACCATGTAAAACCCAGGCCTTTGGGGAGCTGACAAACGGGGCTCAATTACGTGTGTCAAACCCAACCCAACAAGGCGCCACAGCACTAAAGGGGATGACAACCAAGCCTTGCCCATGGCAGGGGAGCAGTGCCTACCTTTTACGAGGCTGGGCCAGCTCTACAAGCCTTGGTGTGGCCACTGCCTGTTTCGCAGCCTTTGACACTGGCCACTGAGCATCCCGTGGGGGCATGTAGTCAGGGTGCAGTCTTTTTGCCCGAGCCAGCTCTATGGTCCGAGGGCTCGCAACGGCCTGCAGAGCGAACTTGGAAACCTGTGGGAGAATGGGGAGGAAGGTCCTCACAGCTTCCCCAGGAAGCACCTCACAGGTGCTTCTAGCATCCAAGAACAACCAACCTGCAGCTCAGTGTACCCAGGTTCACAGCGACTGGTCACGCACAGGTGGGACATGGTCCCATCCACAGCTATCTGGCACCAGACAAGCTGCAGAAGAAGAACCTAATGCCTAAGCAGTCCCCGACCTGTCCTCCTGTCCCACTCTGCTGCCCAAGAAGTGACTACATCAGCCCCACAGACAGCAAAACATCCAGGGCTGCTATGAGGAGAGCTGCTGGCTCGTGCCCCACAGAGGTGTTTTTGGTTTTTTGGGGGAGTGGGTTACAGCAGAGGAAAATGCCCCTGCGTGCTTGGAAACTGAGCTCAAGGCTGACTACTGGTACAGCCCACCCAAACCCCCAGCTCTAGTCAAACCAGCAACCACCCCATGCTGCAGAAGCCCTTTCCTCAACCAGGAAGAGGAAATAAAAGGGGCACCAAAACTTAGCAATTCTTCAGTGCCTCTTCATTTTGGAAGTCGAGCACTCAGGGTGGCTATGTTCCCGTAGCCCTTTCTTCCCTGCTGCAGACAGCCCCTGCTCCCATCACCAGCACAGCGTGGTGGCTCTTAGCAGTACGGAACTGCCCATGGTGCAGCCCAGGCAGGCAAGAAGATGGCACCTTCCCTTTCCCTTGTTGAGACAGCACCATCTGAGCTGCAGCCTTCCCCAGAACGTGCGTTACTGACCTGCCACTGACCTGCCATGGTGTTTGCCGGAGTCTTGCTCAGGTTTGGCTATTGCCACTCTTCTTGGTGATGGCTGAGCTGTTGCAGCTTCCCTTGAGAGGGTCCAGATTGTCTCTTGGTTTCCCCACACAAGCCTAGCAAGAACACCAAGGGTGTGAAATGCGCCTTTAGAAATACATACAAACGTGAAATGTCCTTAGTGGGATCAGTTTTTCCTGCCTAGGGTGGGACACACTCACAGTCCCTATGGCTCCCCACAGCTGTGAAGCGCTGCTGCCTTTCCCTGAGCACTCACCTTCCTCAGCACTGAATTCCCTAATGCTGTGCAGGTGAGTTGCTGTCACCTCAAAACAGAAAAGAGGCTTCAAGCAACGCATCTGTTTTCACAGCTCCCAGTGGATGTGCAAAAAGGGTCATTTCGTTCCGTCTCTGAAACCCCTGCAGGAGTTTCATGATTGCATTTTTCTTGCCTCACCGTTACCACCTAGCCACGCCACAGGTATGACAGCAGAAACAATAACAACGTTACGGTCAGGGTGTGCCATGGAAAGTGGGTGAGGTTTTCCAGTACGTTAGTGGTTAGTCTCCCAAGCCCAGGGCAAATTAGGAGTTGCTCATCCCCCATGGAGAACGGACAGCATGAACTCTCCCATGGTGGGAGAGGGTACCAGAGCAGTCCCAAGAGGGGACAGCAGCATCGTGGGTTTGTGGAGCCTTTCTGGAGCACGGTGACACCCGTGGTGGGGTGATTCAACGTGGCTCAGCTTGTTGAGCCATAGCTTGGCCCCATTCTTAGAGTCACAAGTGCTTTTGGGGGGGAAGCACTGGCATGACAAAGCCAGCGAGTCCCTGGTGGCCAAGGCCCTGTCAGGCCCCGGTCCTCAAGCCAGGCTCTCTGGGTGCGTTCTCACCTGGGACTGTTTGCACAAGGCCTGGGTTCTGCCAGTTCTTGTACCCTGCCAGAAGTGCAGAAATGGACAGACGTGTCCTTAAACACCCAGTTAAACCAACAAAGCGTGCAACAACTACTGCTGTACTCAAAGCCATAACGCTCTCTCGAATACCCACGTCTTTGCCTCCTCCCTGTGCAAGAGTGTGTTTAAGGACCTCTCTCCAAGCAACCTTCCTTCTCTTTAACCTGGTGATCTCACCAGGATTTTGGGCTCTCTCTCAGACTGCAGAGCCACAAATCTGTGTGTCTGTCCTCACTGCAGGCAACACAAACCTTCTGGGACATGATGAGGAAAAGGGGAATGTACTTCTCTGCTTCACAGCTTGCCACGCAACCCCAGCATGTAGGAGATGGACAAACAAACAGCTGGTACCAACAGTCCCACTGGTTACCAAAAGGTACCATGGAGGCAGCACGCTTCCAACTGTCCGCTGACAGACAATGGTCAGTGCTTTGGGGACACCCCTGTGGTTTCTCCGATGGTACCTGAAGCCTCTAGTGGGACACAGCAGCAGCAAATACTTACCAGAGAGCACCACGAGGACCTGGTGCTGGCAGGCTGCTGCCAGGGCATCCTCACTCCACACTCCCTCCCTCGCAAGGTGCCTGCTGATTTATCTCCGTCACACCTAACCAAGCTCCCCGGGATCTCAGTGGGAATGCCCGGGGGATGTTGGCCCCCTGCCTCCAGCTCAAGACTGGGACATGCTCAGGACGGCAGCACTCGTCTCAGGAGCTCCAAACCAGTTTCAGCAGCTTCAGCCAAGCGGCTCTCCAAAGGCTCATTGTTTTTCCCCCCCGCAGACAGCACAGATCCACCACACAGTCGCATCCAAACTCAGCACCAATAGACAGATATCCCCACGCATGCATCTTCAGCAGTTCTGCAACCTGAGGGAATTGAGCAACCTCTCTGACGAAGGGAGAGTCCCAGGGCAGCCTCTGCCATTTGGTCCTGCTTTTGCTTTCCAGCCGGGGAAATGAGGCCTTGCTGCAGCCAGGCACAGAAATACCTTCCTTCTGCTGCCTGAGGGCAGTCGATCTCATTGCTTAAAAGGTCCCAACTGCCTATGAAATCAACCCCTTGTAAAGCAAATTAGAATTAGAATAGTTCAGCTGAAAAGAACTGAAAATGATAATTGAGTCCCAACTGCCTCATCACTAAACTGAAATTAAAGCACATTATTGAGGGCATTATCCAAGTGCCTCGAACACTGACAGGCTTGGAGCATCAATCAGCATGCTAGGAAGCCTCTTCCAGTGTTTCACAACCCTCACAGTCAAAAAAAGATTTCCTAATGTCCAGTCTGAACCTCCCAGCACCAGTCCCTTTCTGCTGAGCTGCTCTTTGGTCACTCGCCTCCCAGGCTGTACTCATGGCTGGCATTGCAGAACACAGGTGCAGAACACAGCATTTTCCTTTGACCTTGATGCTGTTGATGATTTTCCAATCTAAATCGCTCTGCAAGGACTCTCCATCCCTCCAGGGAGTCGACAACACCTCCCAGTTTAGTATCATCAGTGAACTGGGTAAGGATGCGTTCAACTCCTGCATCCAGAATACTGATTGAAATGCTGAACAGAACCAAACCTAGAACTGAGCCCTGGGGAGCACCACTAGCGACTGTCCACCTGGCAAGATGTAGCTCCCTTCACTACAAACCTTTGAGCTCTGCCATTCATTCAGTTCATCACCCAGCAGTGTGAACCTGTTCGTCTCACAGCTGGACAATTTGTCCGGAAGGATGCCATGAGGGACGGTATCAAAGGCCTTATAAAAAATATAAATGTATTTTTTAAAGCCTTATAAAATCCAGAAAGATTATAGCCACTGCCTTCCCTTCACATCCATCAAGAGGATGGCTTTACCTTACTAGATCTAATTACTAAGGCAGAACTTTCTCTTGATGAAGGCTTGTTGACTACGCATGCTAATAGCTTTGTTCTTTACATGCCTTTCAATATCCTCCAGGATAATCCTCTCCATACCCTTTCTACACACTGAGGTTAGACTAATGGTGCTGGAGTTTCCTGGGTTTTCTTGTCGATAGGTGTAATGTTCACCAGCTTCCAGTCAGCAGGGACCTCTCCAGACTCCCAAGACCTTTGATAAATTGTTGAGAGGCCCAGTTTTAATATCTGCTGACTCCTTCAGTACTCAGGAGTGAATCCCATCAGGCCCTATGGATTTATGAACATTTATTCATCTGATACAACCAGTCCCTTACAATTTCAGTTCACAGCTTCTGTTTTGAAGGGGCAAGACAGTCAGACATTGTCCGTACTGAGGAGCAGGGGGAAAGACAAAACCAGGCATCCTTTTGTCTGTGTATTTATCCCAGCAACATCCAATATTTTGACTTGTTGATCCAGCATAAACCTCCAGCTGAGCCATCCCCTGGAGGCCTGAGGCACGGTTTGGGCACTAGGGATTAGGAAGCTAGGGCTGGGAGGGTTTCTTACCTGTCGTGTGAATGTGTAGACAAGTGGCAAGAGATTTTAAAGACAGGAAGTGAAATTTAAACCCTTGGTAACATCTTCAGCTCGGGCTGCCTGCTCTTCAGGGTGACATAACGATGAGGCAGCTGAGTTTGTGCATCTCCTCGGGATAACTCGGGCAGTTGTTTGTGTTGTTGACGGTATCCTTGGTACCTTCTCAGCGCAGTTGCATAGCAATGCGCTTGCACATGAAGCACTCCGCTCCTCTGCTAACAGCTCCTCACTGCAGGGCTCCAGCAGCTCTCGGCACCACAGGACCAAGCACTGCCAGCACCAGTTACTGCTCCCTTCAGCTGTAATTTCAAGGGGAAGTTATGAAAGCCTCGGGGGAGGCTCAGCAGCGATACTACACCGGGAAGTAAAACCAAACACAGAAGCACAATCCAAGCTGTCACATTTTACATTTTAAGAGGGAGAATGGAAAAAAACAAAGATGTGGCAACGTGCAGAAAGTGTGAGGAAACGAAGGGAGATTACAGGCAGCCCCTAACCCAGATTGCAGCAAGAGCCACGGGCGGCCCTGAGGGGCTGTGAGGCGCCTTCCTGCCCCACCCCAAGGGCTGAGGGGATGGACATGGGGATGGCCACTGGTGGAGCAGCCTTGAAGGGAGGCAGATAGCTCATCCACACCTATCTGCCCACCAAGCTGCCCTTCTTCTGGAGCCTGTGAGGGAGCCTCCACAGCCCCTCTGCCCTCAGCAGCCTTCCCTTCGCTCCTGTCTTGCCTCCACACCACCAGGAGGCCTTGGAGGTGTGCGGCCATCTGCTTCATCGTGCTGCCTCGCTGTGGGGTCTTCAGCCCAGCTCTCGCTGCATTCCCTCTGCCTCGAGCTCAAGGAAAATCCCGCTGCCTGCAGAAGCCTGAGCCCTGCTGGCAGGAGACTGTTTGCACAGAGACAGGCCAGCCAAGCACCCATCCCTTACAGAATTGCAAAAAGAACGATTTTAAAGGTAGCTGTCCAAGAAAAGCCATGAAGGTCTGCTGTGCCATTCCTTGTTGAAGTAAATGAAACCCAGACCAGTCGTTAAGAGTAAAATTTTCTGATTTATGCATCTGTTACAAAGGACAAAACTAGAAAAAACTTGTACAATACATTTGGTTATAAAACGTGTCTTTTGCAGTACTGCCTGGAACCTGAATCACTTGTTTGGAGTGTAATTACAAGGACACTGACACTGAGAAAGTAACGCTCCTTTCCAACTCATCTTCCTTATCTGCTGTGCTAACAGAAATCACTTCCCAAAAGCAATGAATTTTTCACCCATGACACTGCTTGCTCAAGCACAATCTGGACTAAACCAAAATAAGTCACTCAAACTGATGGATTCCCCCAACCTCTGATGCCAACCTAACTTAAATGCTTTCAATCACGACCTTAAATTGCACTGTTTTGTGGTTTTTTTTTTTCCCCCGTAAGCAAAGAAAATTTTAATGTCTTATTGCTTTAATTTTCTCGTCTTTCTTATCCACTAAAGAAGCTGTAAACAAGCCCAATTTCCAGAAATTACCAATTTGTCACTCCCCTAAAAGGCAGCTCCTATAGAGCAAAAACAGAGATTGTCACTGTCAAAAATGCAGTTCTGTCACAGGATTTTACATTTCTGGCACTCTCAAGAGGTGGTCTCATTTTTAACAGAACAACTCGACTAACAGAGTTGCTGTAAAATCCATTACCTATGAAGTAAACATAATTCAATTTAAACCTGAGACTTCAGGCTAGTTTAAATTCACTGAATACAACTTTGGTTCATTAAAGCCGATGGTTAATTCCAACCTGGCAAGCGGCCGTCTCAGCCTAAGCTATACATACCCCTAACTCTGCTGTCTGAGAGTTTCACTTTCCCCTACAAATAGGCTACAAATACATTATTTTCCAAAGGTATTTTAAAAACACTATGAAATAGATTTTCTTACCAACTAGATATCGTTTTCAGAGGAATTCCACACCCACAAGGAAAAGGTACTTCTACATTTCAGCTGCCACGTGGCGAACCGACCACGTACTAACACCTCATCTTCCACAACTGCAAGAATTGTGTTGAAGGAAAAGTCACTGCATTTCCAAAAACAGCTCTGCTATCAGCTCCTTGGCATCCTTCATGCTGGAGGAGATCTCTGAGCCATCCTCTGCCACGTGGGTACCGATCAAGAACATCTTCCTCTTGTCCCCGATATCAGACAGTGCCAGAGCATCGTGGATATCTGTGATGCAGTATGCACCTTCGAGGTCCTGACACACAAAACCAAAAACAAGCCTGTTAGTTGCAAGAGGTGGCGGCACCAGTCCTGCTCTGAGCCTTTCCTCAGGGAGGGGAAGGGTCTCAGAATATCTGGGGGCACTGCTCTTCTATGTACCCTTATGCGATCATGTTCCCATGCCCTAAAATGCTTTGGAACCAAGATGTTTATCCTTAACCTGACTTCTTCCCGAAGAAATAAGGGTACAGCTCTGCTCCCAGTTATTTCAGTGTTTCCAATAATAATGTACGACTAGCTGTACAAGCTAGAAAAAAAGTATTGCTGGTCCAAGACCCCAAGCACCCCACATAGAGTTACAAGAACAGGGCAAATACACAACAGTCATTCCCTCATTACCTTCCCAGCCCCCAGCACTTCTGTCTCAGGGACCTAGAGAATCAGCAGTAGCATTTGTGTTTGATGAAGCCAAGACTGATGAGACTAATACAAAGGACTGCTAGCAACACATCTAAGTTAACAGATATTTGAGTGGTAACAATGTAGAACAAACCAAGCACATGGCTCCAAAAAAAAAAATTAATAATAAAAAATCTGCACTTAAAGACTTTCAGCTGTTCTGTCATCTACTACAGGTATCAGTCATTGAGACTTTCACAGAAATCAGAAGAAAACATTGCCTTGTGAAGAAAGCTCCTCTTCTCTTACGCTACAGCAAGCAACCACAGGAGCAACTAAACAGACGATGTGAAAGCAAACAATTGTGCTTTGCTACGTGGGGGCTGCTAGGTAAAGAGGTACCCAGGGACAGCTATTCAGAAGAGAAACCTAATTCCAGGTTCAACTGCGGTCTCCCTTGCTGCTCTCAAGCCTTGCAGCTCTGCAGCAATTTTCACCATTATTTCCACCCACAGCTTGTTTTGCACCATCTCTGAGTGCAGGACCTTCATCTTACAGGTCCAAAACTCAACGCCAGATTAATTTCCTTTGCTGTCAGCTGGTGCCTCAGAAAACTCCCCAGCGTGTGGCCTTCTTTGAAAAGCTTTATTGGCTGTTTTCAGAGCTGCTGCCAGCCCAAGCTCAAGTAAGGGCAGGGAACTCCTACCTGCTTGTGGGCCAGAACCACCACGGGCAGGGTGGAGTTGTTCTCGACCAGTTGATGAAGCAGCTGTTTCGCCACAGGCAGCCGAGCATGATCAGCTGAGTCCACGACGTAGATCAGCAGCAGCACTTGGGGCAGGTACATCTTCCAGTATGAACGCAGAGATTCACTGCCCCCAACTGGAAGAGAACACAGCAACACAAGATTCACCAAATAATCCAAGCAGCACAGCTCCCAGAGGTCCAGACAGCCGGCTCTGGGTTGAAAACCCAAGGAATTTGGGTTACTGTACACGAGCACAGAAATAGCTTTATTTTCCCCAGTCAGGGGAAAAGGCAGGCTTGAGTGTGCTCAGAAAGAAATAAAAATCTTTCTATTGCAAGCTCTTGAGGTTTGTTTTTTTGTTGTTTGTTTGTTTTTGTTTTGTTTTTAAATGGTTGCTTTCTGCAACATGGGTCTTGTTCTCGAGCCAGAAGGGACAGCGGAAAAAGGTTCAGTATCCAGAAGGACAACGTGAGAATGTCCCCGTTTCACAGGGATGCCCTTCAGACAAAGGATAGCATCTTCAGACAAAGCAGGCCTACAATTTCCTAGAGAGAAATTTAATTCTGGCATGGGGAGGGCTCTCATCAGATTTGCATTACACTAGGGACTAAATCAAAAACTTGCACAGCTTTCGTATTGTCAAAGCACCAGAGGTGTTTAGGAAGAGATAAAAATCAAGTTCCAACAGACTCTTTGAGCTGTCCTTAGGTGATGGGATAAATCTTTGCACAGGATACAATTCTACCCAGACTCTGTTGGCTATGGAAGAAAGATATTCACCTTCAAAACCAGGGCTTATAACAGTTCTGTGGTGAAGCCACGTGCCTGAGATTGCTATTCCCATCTGAGAACATTGGTGGTGCTGAGTTTAAGAGAAGCAGGAATAGCTTACAGTATATTAAGCACTTCAGGGAGGCGACAGGATGAGAGGCAACAGGCACAAACTGAAGCATGGGAAATTCCATGGAATATGAGAGGGCACTTCTATACTGGGAGAGTGACAGAGCCCTGGGACAGGCTGCCCAGAGAGGTTGTGCAGTCTCCTTCTCTGGAGATATCCAAAAGCCACCTGGATGCCATCCTGAGCAATGTGCTCTAGGTGATCCAGCTTGGCAGGGGGTTGGACCAGGTGATCTCCAGAGGTCCCTTCCCACCTCAACCATTCTGTGATTCTGTATATTTTCAGCTCTCCAGGTCTATCACTTCTAGGCAATCAAGGGCAGGGAGGGGGTGTGTGCGTGAAGGTACTTTGCAGAACACTAGGCTCAAGAGACAGGGGTGACTTGACACCAACTGCAGCAAGTTCCCAAAGCAATATATTTAGGTTTCCCTATAATAGTTTCCTGTCTTATTTAGGAACTCTTTTCAAAACTGACTTGCTAGCCAGCCTATCAAATTCACTGTCCTTAGTAAATCTGTTGTTTCAGAGCAATTTTGCCTTAAGTCAAAATTATTTACCAGTTTCAAGAACACACAAAGTGAAGCAATGTTTCCCTGCTAGGGTGTTTGTGCCTCATCTTCAAGAGCCCCAGTGCAGCTCTGCCTGCAGATGCAAGTCTGCCACTGGGGGAAGGAGCCAACTAGACTGTAACTGACCTTACACTTGGGGCAGACAGCTCTGACTCTGTACTGGGATGTTCTCTATGCTCATCGCTAGTCTTTTTGTTCAGTGCATTCATACATAGCATAAACCAGGGGTCTGCAACCTCATAGTGAACATTTTTTCTTTCCCAAACCAGTAGCAGCAAGTCAGCAGAAGCCAGGAGCTCCTTGAAGAGGCAAGATTCCACCTACTTATTTACATGATGGTACACAAAAAGTGAATTTTTTCTATCTGTCCAGGCTGGCAAAATAATACCCCTACTGTCTGAAGATCATAATGAGCTACACTGTTCACAGTGCAGGCTGCTAACCTCTGGTCTAGGCAATGGTACAGACTGGGTAAGTAACAGATCAGAGTGCCATGTGCGGATTTACCTGGCTGAAATTGGCTTGAGACATTTCATCTCCCATGGGTCAGATCGTAGCCAACACATCTCAGTCACTACCAACCTGAACCAGAGAGGGAAGGCTGACTCGGAAACAACCATCCTGCACTGCACTGGGCCCAAGCAACCTCCAGGCAGCAGCAGAAATCCTGTGGGTTTCTCTAGCTCAGAGACCACCTCACTCCCAGCAAAGCCAGTGGGAAATACAAGTGTCTAATACCAACCAGGAGATGGACACAGACTCTAAGCATCTCTGAAGAGGTGTTTTCCCTAGCATGGTGCAGAGACTTCCACAGTAGGACTGGGAACGACGCTCTGCCTTAAAGGCTTCATCCTCACTTCCTAAATACCGTCTGCCTGGTAACAGCACAGCTGCTTTGTGCTTGCTGACAAAGGTACTGAGGCGTTCCTGGGCTAGCCGCCAGCTCTGCCAGTCAAGCCCTGGCACAGCACAGGAAGAACTAAATGGCAGCCTCTGTCCCTGCAGAAAGCTGGCACCGGTGAGGTTAGGGTGTCAGCCTCTCAATACCAGGCACTGACCTGACTCCAGGGTCCCTTAGATGGGTTTTTGAAGAAAAAGCAGGAAGAAAAGCTCTGTGTGTTCTCCTCTTTCACCTTATTCACCTCTTCTACGCTTGCCCTGAGCACCGAGCAGGGTGGGAAAGCAGGATCTCCACAGGGCAAACAACCACGGCTCTGTGTTAGCGGAGCAGGCACGAGGAGCTACGAGGCTTTAAAACACAAGCACGCAGGACAGGAGCTCGTAGGCAGTAAAATCAACCTCACTCACTCTCCAGGAACTCCATCTGCGACTCCTCGGTGGCGATGCAGACGGCGTTGAAGCCCTCGGTGGGCGCCAGGCTGCGCTTCGCCTGGTTAGTGGCCAGCGCCTGCAGCAGGCTGCTCTTCCCCGCGCCATCCAGCCCCAGCACCAGGATCTGCCTGCCCTGCCGCTTCCCCTGCGGGGCGACACCGATGGAAGGGACGGGACCAAGCCTCGGTGCGGGGGGCTCCCCCCGCCCTGCCCCCCGGCCCCTCAGGCGGGCCCACGCCCAGGCCGCCAGGGCCGCGCCGCCCGCCATGGCCAGGGCGGCCCCGCAGAGCCGCAGGCGGCTGCCCATGGCCGGCCCGGCTGTGGCGGGGAGGCGGCTCCCCCTGCAGGCTCCCCCTTTTCGGCTTCCCCTGCGCATGCTTCCACCCACAGGACGAGGTTTAAATCCCTTCAAGCGCAGGCTTTCCCTGTCAGGCGGTGTCTACGCCTGGTGAAATGGTTTTGCAGCGCGAGTTGCTAGAGGTGGGTGAGGGTGCTGGGAGAGCTGCTGCACCTCTTCCACCTCACCCACAGCCTCCTTTCAAAATGGGCCATGTTTCTCCAGCACAACCATCACAAACGCTTTGTTTTCGCTATTTTTCACTGCGCCGTGCCCCCCACTAACGCAGCAGAAGAGGGGACGCCAGGTCAGCTGCCACACACTTTGCCATCTTAACGTCGTGCTCTCCCCCCTCAGCTTATCTTCTGTGTAATCCAGTCCGTCTGTTGTTTTTCAAGACCATCTGCGCCTGTGGTCAGTGACCAACTAGGACAAAACACCGAGGACATTGCTTGCGGAGATGCTGTCAGATAAATCTGACAAATACTTTGACTGGCACATGCAGGAGTAGCATAAAGCTAACGTTTCAACACACCGTTGGTTGTTCCACAGCTCTGGAAGTTAAGCAACGTGGACAGATTTCTTTTTACAGGCTGCATTTGGGTTTTATGGTAACAGCCAGTTCCCTCCATACTTACAGTCTGAATCCACAGATACCACAGCCAGGCCAGAGTTTCCTTCCCCATTTGACTGCTCTGTGCTTAGCTATTGATAAAAAAATGACTGCTCTTAAATGTTTAGTTTCTTTACACAGTCGTCCAGAACTACCTGGCATGCATACAGCATACAACCCAAAACACAAGGTTAAATATTTTGAAAATCATTTTTTTCCTTTTCTTATCATAACTCCAGGAAAGTCTTTGCTGTAGTATGAAGCCCTGACCCATGCCACCAGCACCATTTTACCCAGGCTGCAGGGCACTGTGTGACAAGGATGGCTGGGGAAGGGTACAAGAGCAGAGGAAGTTAGATTTGCAGTCATGAAAGGGGAAACATAAAAATCAACCTGCAGAGAGGGCTGTTAGAGCTTGATGAAGAAAAGGGGACTTTCCTAACCCTCACTGGGGGATGCAGTTAAACATTAAGCCCAACAATCCAGCTTCTAACTTGCAGTTGTTGACAGCGGTGGAGAGAAGAGATGCAAGGCATCATTACTCCAACTTTCAAGGGAGCTTGCTACTCTCAAAAACAGGCCTTCGTAAATCCAGTGTGCTGTCCCAGCAAGTAATTTCTGCTACCAACTAAAAGAGGAGTTGGAGCAGGAGCTGGGAAGCATGCAGCTCCTGGGGCTGCACATATGGAACAGCTCTCACTCCAGAAATAAGCTACAAGCTCTGTGTGTATTTACAGTTAAGAATGCAGTTCCCCAGAGGCACAAGACGGAACCAAATAAGGCCATGGTCCTTTTCACCCACCCTTGTTCCCTTGTGACAGTACTGCAGCCGCTCCCGCATGCAGCACCCCAGGCCTCCTGCTTGAGCGGGAGGCATAGCAGCCCCCCATACTCCGTGGGGCTCCTTATTCTGATTTGTGCTCCATACTAACACAGCTTTGGAGGAAGACGAGCCACAGTGGGAATTAATGTAAGGAAGACAACTCGGTGAGCAGACATTATCACGGTGTCCATACCAGCCCATCTCCTCCCAGAGCACAGAGAGATTTGGATGCCACGAGTCGTTCACCGCCACTGGCTTTTGACCTTTATTATGCAACCAGCATCACCTACTGAAGGAGGGAGGTTACACATCCTGCTTTTTACCATCCGCTTTTACCCCCTTTCTTCTTCTTCTGCTGTTGTTTCTTCTTGGTGGCTGGGGCACCAGCAGGTTTTTGGTGCCTGGGAGGGATGACGTTACTCGCAGCCGATACAGCGGCAGCACTGCCGGGCCGAGGGGAGGTAGGTGGGCTGCTGGCAGTCCTGCTGGCATCCCTACAGAGAAAAATACACCACATCGGTTCACAAACACCTGGGAGATATGGCACTGTAGCAACAGCTGGGCAGGAAGCTGAGAGCAAAAGATAGAGTAGCTTAGCTGTCATATAAAATAGCATTACAACACCACCATGGATGCGAGAGCACTCAAGCAAGGAGATTTTGCTCATCTTAAATGAGCTTCAGTGTACACAGGAGGGTTGATGGATGATGGGAACTTGTCTCAAAGGACAGGCAATCACCTTCTAACTGATGCTCATCAGACAGCAGAAATCCCAACAACAAAAGCACGGCTTTCAACTTCTGAATAGACAGTTGACACTCATGCAAATGCAAGAAAACCCTTTTAAGGCCCCCAGATATGCAGTTGCAGACCAACATCCTTTTTCTCCTTAATGACAAAGGCACCTTTGTGCCTGCTCTCTTTGCAAACACTGCTCAAACTAACAGTACCACAAAAGGCTTTTCATGCTTCCATTTGGAGAGACAGCTGTATAAAGAAGAGCTGTATCATCCCTGACTAGCAGTTCCCTATGTCGCTATTATTTTAAATGTACTTCCTTCTCCCAGATGCTAGTAAGTCACCAGCTTGCTGTGAGGCCTCATACATAAAGGAAAACCCTGATTCCAGCTCAAATCAAGATCAAGTTAGAGGGATGTACGGTACTTTCCCAAATAATGGCTAGCAGTAACCAAAAGACAAAAGCAAATAGGTTGAGCGATGCCATGCAAAATTCATCTAGCCCTCAAAGCTAAGAAAAGCGTATAAAAACACTTCTGGGATTTTATTTGCACCTTGGCACCTTCGAGCATGCCTATCATATCATTTTGCTTCTCAGTCAATTATAGAGAACTTCTGGAAGGGCACCTGGTAGAAGGTTCAAGTGACAAAGTGCAGCTTCAGCTGTGCTACCCAGGGCCGGTGAGGTGACAGAGCCTCAGGAAAGCACAAAGCCACACTTCTGAGCCACCCAGGATTCATTCCCCACACCAAACCCAGCAGTGGGTACTTACAGTTCAGAGGAACCAGCTGTGGTTGAACCCTGAGTTCCTTTGCCAACCTGATCCTTCTTCTTCCCCTTCTTCCGTCCACGATAGTAGGAACGCTCTCGCATTGGCAGCCACCGCTCAGGGTCAGGAGTTACCTTGGGGTCGTAGTTCTTGGGCAGCTTTCCTGCAGAACAGCCAGTGCCAGGAAATGAGATGGGGGTCAACATGCTAGAGAGGTGTCAACAAGGGATACATGGGGGTTGTCAGCAGAGACAAATTACACAGACCCCAGCAACCCACAACACAAGACACTGTAAATGTCCTGTCAGGGAGCTGCTCTCCCTTCTGTGGAGAAATGCCCCACACAGGATGAGCAATTGGTCATGAACACCTCAGTTCACGAGTCCCAGATCCCAAGGAGCTGAAGGTTAGCTACCAGAAGAAACAATCTGGCCAGCTCTCTGCGTCTGTGCCTTATTAACATCTAGGAAGTACAACTTACCTTTCTTCTTCTTCTTCTTTTTCTTCACCTCCCCTTGCCTGAAAAGCAAGCAGGGAAACAGCCACTGTGACACAGCTTTTGTGAGAAATCAACCAAAAGCTAGTTCTGGAAGAAGCTAAACCATTCCCATCTCTCTAAAAACTTGGTCTGCTGCTATCTGAAGCTCCTTGCAGTTACACAACAGGCTCCCCCTTCCACTAGGGCATCTGCTGCACCAATACCCCTACCACAGCAGGTGTGGCTCCTACACCATCCCAAAAAACGTCTGTGCCAGGGCCAAAGCAGCACGCTACCCTTGCTCTTTCTGCTGGTTGTCTCCAGTGAGTTTCCCAGCTTTCTTCCGAACGTAGGTCGCTCCATGGGAGTTCTCCAGGGCATCAACATCTACCTTCAGCGACATAGTGTCTGAGGAAGGCAAATGTTTGCTGAGACTGCAAAGGAAGAGTTCAGGGATGCAAACCAGGAAAGCTAACACACAACTGGCAAGCAGCAAGCAAAGAAACTCCCACCTTTATTCAAGCACCAAAAGAAAACATCAGCTTAAACAAATTCAGCCTGATGGCAATACCAGGCAGACCTACAGGGCCAGCCCCAGCTCCCTGCCCAAGCTGGAGTGATCTGCTTAATTGCCCTCTGCCTCATTTTTCCCTTCTTTGAGGTGGGGGATAGAAGCAGCAACTTACTTTGAAAACTGTTCTAGATGGCAAAAGCTGTATGGGAACCTGACGTTTTGGGTCAGGGAGAGTTTAGCCATATTCTGTTGGGCACAGTCCTGCATTACTACCACAGGTCCAAGACTGCAGCAGAAAATATGGAGAAGCTCCTATTTTTATTCCTGATAGTCTTAAATTACCACATCTCAGAGAGGAGGCCAAAGACAAAAGGGTCTTGGAATCTCACAGTAATCACACCAGTCAGAAAATAAAGTAGTTCCAGAAAACTTGGCCCGGATACCCAACTGGAGATGTTCCTTGCCTTTCTTCAGGTGAGAACGGGTCCAAATTCCCCACACAACTGAAATCCAAAGAAGCAATGCCCAAATGCCTTGGCACTAAAAAGGATACACTTTAGCTTTTTCAGGGTCCACCAGGGAGTAGGCAGAGATGAGCTGTGCCAGCGTGTGCACATCTTTTGGGTTTTGCCTTTGGAGAAGAAAAAACAGAAGGCTCAAGTCATACACTCATCCCAAAACCTGTTGCATGCTACCCGAGCACGGATGCTACCTGTGGGGACAGGTTATGCCAGTCTGTGGTACCCTACAGAGCACACCACCAAACATCACTGATGCAGAGAGAGGAGCAGATATCACACTATCAAAAAGCAGGCAATGAAAGACAAAACCCCCTGAAGTTCCAGTTGCAAAGGCAAATTAACAGAACTCTCTCATATCCCACCAAGTAGATAAAAAAATGAAAACTTAAGACATCCATGGTTTATGCAGCACTAGAAAAATGCACATGTCCCAGTCACCAAAGCAACCTGCACTGCATGTAGGAGTCCTCCAGGACAAGTCAGGCAGGTTTTCAAGTGAATGTCAGCTACAGACCAAATGAGTGCTCCCCTACCTTCACAAACATGGCTTTGCATTG